GGTTCTGTATACCATGAGACTTGTCCCCATCTTCCTGAAGAAGCCAACTACTGTTTATACATTCCTCTGTAATCCTTAGGTGTTGAATTGCTTCAGTATAAAAAGGAAGAAGCCGTTCTACGTAATAGAGGCCGGTCATGGAGTTCCCTTTTGGCTTAACCTCTTTATCGTGTGCCTCGCATTCAGTCTCCCACTTTAGTATTAACTCTGCATATTCCTCGTCTGTACAGTACTTGGTTTTGCGAGGCTTCCTAGGCTTCCTAGCTTTAATAACTTCATCCTCTTCGTCGTGGTAGAACTGGAGTTTCTCGCATTTGGCATGCCAATTACACCACCCTGCGATGTGTAGCCGTACGCCCCGTTTCTCCCCCCTTTCCTGTATATATTCGGGCTTATAACGCTTCCCTTGCTCACGGAGGTAGAAGTCTTGAACGTTAGAGGTAGGATCAATATGTGCCTCGTCTGTCCAGAGAACCCTACGCCAATGGTTCTCAACTGTCTTGTACTGCCACTTCCTCCCGTATTCTGTCCGTTTCTGCCGGTTTGTATTCGAGGTTTTCTTCTTTACGTACGCAGCCTTATAGCGACGGGCCTTGTTTGTATGCCTGAGCAAAGCGCGCTGTAGAGTGCGGGCGGAACCCTTGATCTTGTGGTATTTCATTTGAGCTTCGTAGTGCTGGTTTTGGACGGGGTTTTTGACTGGGTTGACAAGGAGTAAACAACTCTCTTTTGAGATAAGACGACGCCTCCCAAGTATATTTGACCTCTTCCGCGTCCGCCGGTATGCTGCAGACCCTATTTGAGTACGCTCTTTGAGCCATCGTGATGCCGTAGACCTGGTTACTCCCAAATCTGCNATATTTGACCTCTTCCGCGTCCGCCGGTATGCTGCAGACCCTATTTGAGTACGCTCTTTGAGCCATCGTGATGCCGTAGACCTGGTTACTCCCAAATCTGCCCCTATAGCCTTATGTGTTTCTGCGCCGTGCCGGGCGTCCCAGGCCTCGTAAAACCGGGTCTTTTTGGTAGTAGTAGCTTCGCGGTGATGTATTTGACGATCTGGCGTGTCCTCTCTACTGTGAGTAGGCGTGTTAGTGTCCATTTGGACGGTTTAAAGAGTATGTTTTATTAAGGTATGATATCTAAGCATTTTTGGTGTTCTTGATTACGTAATTTAGAAGTTGTGCTGTCCCACGAATTCTGTCACCCACTGGTGTAGCTAGTTAATATAATATTTTTAGAAAAACTTTTACTTTTTTAATATAGTAGAAGATACTTTTTTTTAGGTAGATTTTATTAATTAATATAGAGAAAACGGCAAGATTTGACCCCCGTCATAGACTACATAGTCATAGACTACTGTAGTCTATACGGTATGGACTGCGCTCTTACTGGGCAAGCACAAACAGAAAATAGATGATTCTTCTCAAGAATTTCTGTAAGTAGCGTAGGTAGGTATATGTACATGAACAGGATATTTTTATACAGTACGCACTAGAATATAAATGTGATACAGAGCAATCAACTCGCTTATCCCAATGTGGTGTAATAGGAGAACCCTCCTCTATTACACAACACCACCTGTAACGGCCAAAATGTAAATGAATAACAACTGGTATCATGGAGAAGATCTCAATTCGGCCCGATCTCGGGGACTACTGCAAGGTCCTGCATGTTTCGCGTCATCGCGGTCGCTCGTCCCTCTCAAACAAAACAATCTCACCAAATTCAATCGCAAGCAAAGTGGACAGACATATCATCGTTTTATTATTCCTACGACTCTGTACTGTGAAGCTGTTCAACAACTCAAAATGCTCATTATTCCCAATCCCAATTTTTATGCTCGCTGGCATCTTCCTGAACTCCAAACTAAATGCTCAATCGAACCATGAGAGCTTGCAGAACGACGCCAGACACCAAAGCCAAATACAATACGCTCCCAACCCTCCAAGACGCCTCATAACTCTTTTGCATCATTAGAAGCGCAAATACAAACTCCTATTCGCTATGAACATTCATCCCCTTTACGAGCGCCATCGCTACTGCTGCAGCCAAACCTCCAAGGCAGACCATTTGGATGCCACCATAACAGCCAGCCTTGATATTGGCTCCGCCTTTCCATCCCAAGAAAACACATGTCTTGGAATAGCCGAACGCAAATAGCGCGAGCACCATGATACCGACGGAGATAATCAAAGCCTTAAAAACTTGATCAGGCGCCACGCAGGCGTATGGAAGAAGTGGCAGGCCGCCACCGATGAGATATGAGAGACCGATGGTGCCAGCGGACTTGAGGGCGCGCGACTCGTCGGGCTTGGAGAGACCATATTTAAATCCCATCAGAAACTTGACGAGATTTGCCTTCTTCTCCTCTTCACCCTTGGTGGCGGTGGTCGACATGAGGTTAGAGGTGATGGTTCCAACAAGCTCCTCAGGAAAGTTGTACTCCTCCAAAATGTCCTTGATGGTGTTGGGGATATGCTCGGCTCTGTCGTGAACGAGCTCTGTAACCTCCCTCTCGACGGCTGCGTATTCTGCTCTGTTGGGAGTTAGCTCACGATGAATTGGCCAAGGAAGCTTGAAAACTTACACCTCACTCTTCGTACCCAACCATCCTCCCAAGCCCATCGAGATGGCACCAGCAAAGATCTCTGCGATTCCACCATAAATGACTACATCTGTTCTTCCAATAGCAGAGAGGCCAGCCGTCAAAGCAAATGGAACTGTGAGGCCATCTGCGAGACCAATTGTGCAGTCCTTTACGACTGGACCAAGTCCTGTACGAATATTGTTGAAAGGGTTTTCAGTTACCGCGGTATGTTGAGACTCGACATCTGACTCGCGCGCCTCATGGGGCAGAAGGGGCGTGATTGAAGAAGGCAAGCCCTGGCTGTCTGGTACCAGCTTGCGATGGTAGAATAGGTTCTTGATTGCGACCAAAGACATGGCTCCGATGGGGGGTTTGTATTGCCTACGTCTGCGAAGAGTTGCTTTTGAAGCTGCTGCCGATTGGAAGGAATTGCTGTTCTCAGGTCTGGATTCTTCACGCTGATTGCGATCTCGAAGTTGGATAGACTCTGGCAGGTCTGGGCTGGATTTCGTTGATACCATGCTTGGTTATAAACAAAAGCTACTCAAATGTCAATAGGGCTCCCCTGGTTGGATGCTCTTTGAGGCGGGAAGGAATGGTCAGCAATTCCGGGCTTTTGATTGGCCAAGCACGTCACGCCTTCCGACCCACTTTTCACCGCCTTCAACGCAGTGTTTCTCAACGGAATGGACTCTCCAGGAAGGATTTGTGCATGAAATCCCGAGAAGCTGAGAAATAAGAGGATTTCTATTCGTTGATCTGATGTTTATGGGTCAGCCGCCAAAGGCTTATTTTTCTTTTACTCGGTACTCTTTTCCTCACTCCGTATTTTCCATCTGCGGCATCGGTCTATGGATGGAGTTTGTCAGGTACGAGCCGGGATTATTGCTCTACCAATACTTTGTCTTCTCGTACCTCGGATTTTCTCAAAATACTACTTCGTCCTAGGCGAAATAAATGTGACTTTTCCAGGGGAGCTACCTAAGGCGAGTAATAACGCAAAAAGCCCCGGGAAATTTATATTTATTTCGCCTGGAACAAAGTAGAGGTATAACAGTCATTTAAGTAGCTTTATGGAAATCACACGGTCGAGCTCTTCATCCGTGTGATCTCTGGCCATCCTCGGAACCATTTTGGAAGATTTTACACTGTACTACTCAGTCTTAGGGCGGTGTGTACTGGGTACGCGGAGCAATGACCACATCTCCTAGCCCACGAGCTGGAAGTTAACCCAACCTGACCACCTAATGCTAATTTGAGCAACAAGAAATCGTCTACCGGGAGAACGAAGAGAGTTCTTACAAGGGCAAGTATCTTTTTCTTTATCGTTTAATAACAGGAAAGTATTGTATTACACTATTCTACATCTAGTTTTCTTATCTCTCGTTACACAAAAGACTTACAGTACTTGTACAATAGTTTGGACAAATTGGACAGAAGAAATACTTCGTCCCAGGCGAAGTAAATGTTACTTTTCTAGGGTCGCTTAGGCGAACAATAGGGCGAAACCCCCTGAAAAAAATATGTTTATTCGCTTGCGACACTGTAGGTGTAGAAAACAGTCTCGGTGTTCTTGAATTCTTGGAGTCTGGAAGAATTTGAATTCATCGGCCCGGACTCTGGCTTGATTTCTTGGGATTAAGGAGCAGGGTGGAAATGAAGAGTACTATTTGTTACTTGGGCTCTTGGCTAATTATTACTGGTACGTTGATGAGAGGGGAATTAAATCTTCTAAACGAGAATTCTTTAGTCATAGGTAGAGACGATAACCTACAAGCTAGGTAGAGTAATTCGATAGTTCTAGATTATCCTCTTATCTTCTCATTTTTTCCCCTAGCGTTAATCCTACCTTGTATCAAGCGTTATATATCTCATTACTGTGCTGATATATTATTGTTAAAGTAAGTATACAAGTAGTAAAAGGGGTATATCAGATCTCCTGCCAGCTTTTTAAATTCTAAGCAGCTTATATATGGTTAATTATTTACTTTCTCCGTGATTTGATTATTTCCTTCTTCTCGGGGAGTTTTTATATCTTCCTCGACATTAAGAGGACTTTTTTCTAGAGCCCCCCTCCTCTCACCCCCCACCTCCACCTCACCCAAAACCACACCCCCTTCCAAATACCCCTCCCCTCCCATCTTCTTCTCTTTCTTTTTCAACCCCCTGCT